TGTTGTCTCGGATTCTCCAGCATCTGCAGTTCCTACTATCTCTGATTACAATTGCTATTTTCTTGTTAATGGAAAATATTGGTGTGCATATTCTTTTCACCCAAATTAGACAGTTAGATAAAATTAGGCAATTTGCTGCTTTAATCAAAAGTTCACATTTGTATTGGCTTCAGAATGGTGGGGCTTTATTTCCGTGCATGACAATATTGTAAAAAGACAACTGGGCATACCTCCAGTCCAGTGATATTTAATGTAGCAAGAACTATCAAGATCATCTTAGAATCTCCTTCGCTAGTAAACTTTGCAAATCTCAGTCAACTTGGGGCGACACAGTAGCTCAGTGGTTAGTACTACTGCCTCACAGTGCCAGGGACCTAGGTTCAATTCTACCCTTGGGTGACTGTGTAAACTTCACACAGACATTCTCCCTGTGTCTGCCCAGGTTTCCACCAGGTGCTCCGGTTTCCTCTCGCAGTACAAAGATGTGCACATCAGGTGGATTGGCGATGCTAAATTACCCATAGTGTCTAGGGAGGTGCAGGTCTGGTGGATTAACCATGTGATATGCAGCGTTACAGGGATAGGGTAGGGGGTTGGGTCTGGGTGGGATGCTCCTCGAAGGATCGGTGCGGACCTGATGGGCCGAATAGCTTGCTGCAGGGATTCTGCAATTCTATTCGAACAATTTGCTGGAACTTACCTATCTGACAAGAACATTCCACATATTTTTATCCTTCATTTAGGTTTCAGATACTGGTCTGGGAACGTTTAAAGGGTAATCAAGTGCTGCCAATTAAGCAGACTGCTTGGACAGGCAGGGCGTCAAGATTTTGAGTGTTATTGGAATTCCATTCATCCAAGCAAGTGGGGAGTATTCTGCCACACTCCTGACTATCATCTCTTCTAGATAATGGACAGGCTTTGGGGAGTCAGGAAGTGAGCTACTTGCTGCTGTATTCCTAGCCTCTGAGCTGGTCTTGCAGTCACACTGATCATGTGGTGAGTCCAGCTCAGTTTCTGGTCAATGGTAATCTCCATCATGTTGATAATGGAGGATTCAGTGATGGTAACACCACTTAATATCAAGGGCAATAGTTAGCTTGTCTCTTGTCAGAAATAGTCATTGCCTGACATTTATGTGACGTGAATGTTTCTTGCTACTTTTCAGGCCAAGCCTGAACATTGTCCAAGTTTTGCTTTATTTGCTTTATTTGATCATGGACTGCTTCAGTACCTGGGGAGTCGCAAATGATGATAACATTTGTGCAATCATCGGCAAACATCTCTACTTGTGACCTTAAGATGCAGGGAAGGTCATTGATGAAGCAGCTGAAGATGGTTGGGCCTAGGACACTACCCTGAAGAACTCCTGCAGAGATGTCCTGAAGCTGAGATACAAACATGTGAACAAGAGTAGGCCATTCAGCCCTTCAAGCCTGCTCCACTATTCAATAAGATGAGGGCTGTGCTGATTTTAACTGCAACTCTACAATCCTACATACCCTCAATAATCTTTTATCCTCTTGGTAATCAAGAATCTGCCTACCTCGGACTTAAAAATATATACAGATCCAGCATCCACTGCCTTTTAAAGAAGGAAATTCTAAAAGCCAAATGAACCCTCAATTTATTTTTAAATTAGTTTTAGTTTTAAATGGGTGACCCCTTATTTTTCATTAGTTCTTGATTCTCCTACAAGGGGTAATATCCTTTCTCACCCACCTGGTCAAGTCCCCTCAGGATCTTATATGTTTCAATTAGGTCACCTCTAAACTCCAGGGGATACAGGTCAAGCATATCTAGCCTCTCCTCACAAGAGGATCCACGCATTTCATGTGTTTTGTCTAGTAAACCTTCTCTGAACTGCCACTGTAGTAACATCCTTCTATAAGAACAATGATCAGAACTGTGCATAGTACTACACGTGCAATTTGCCACATGATGTCCACTGACTCCAGTTTTGCTCAGGCTTCTACCACACTAAGGCAAATTCAGCCTTGATGCTAAGGGCAGTCGCTCTCTGGAAGTCAGCTCTTTTGTCCATGCTTGAATCAAGGCTGTAATGAGGTCAGAATCTAAGTGGCCCTGGTGGAACCCGAACTGGGCATCAGTGAGCAGGTTATTGCTGTGCAAGTGATGCCTGATAAACTGTTAATGACACATTCCATCACTTTACTGTTGAAAAGGAAAGAATGTTTAACAAAAGAATACTAAATAAACTAAGGAATGTTTTTGGATGATTATTTTATAAATACAGAAAACATACAGTGAAACTTAGTAATAATGTTGACAACCAAGGCTATCTCCTGTAATTAAACAGGCACAAACATTGGCATCATTGATGCCATACAGGAAATTGTTTATAAATTGACAAAATAAAGATCTTCTTGGAACAAACAAGGAAGAATAGCTAAAGTAAATGTGTTTGGAGATTTTCAATAATCAATTATTGAAGTAACACAAAATAAACTGAAGACAGCAATAAATGGTTCAATAAATTAGAAAGAATGGGCTTAGTGAAAATGATTGGACGGCTGAGTGTTGTAAGGTGCAACTAGTAGTATTTTACAAGGATCTGCACTGGAAGCTGCTGTTATTTAGACAATAATAAAACTTTACTTGAATTTGAGGGAACAATATTAAAATATGCTGACATTAAAACAGGCATTTCAGACAATGGTAACGATTGTGAAGACAGAAAAGATAGCTGTGATGGTTACACAACTCACGTAAAAAAATGTTTGCCCATCTTGAAAGCAAGGGTAAGGATGAAAATAATGTCTCATTTGCACCTTTTAAGTGGAACAGGAAAATTTGTACATGGAAGTGGGCAAAAAAAGGATTAGGATTTACACTATAAAAAGAGAGGTGAAATTACAGCATTTCTTCCGACTGCATAGAAGGTTAGCAGGTCATTTAATAGGGGTCTTCAAGATGTTAAAGGTTATAATGAAAGAAAAAGTGAGATTACTCCCAGTGGTTGGTGAGGTAGTAGTGGAAAAGTACAAATCCAATCACAAAAACGAATTACAAGAAGCATGAGAAATAGGAAGAAGAGTAACATTAAGCTTCAAAAATGTACTCTGGTCATTTAGTTGGGTCATGGTTGAGGTTCAACCTTCACTTTACTTTTTCACCCAATCCTGTAGGCAGAAGTTAATATTGGTGCCAGTCACCTCTTTTCAGGAAGACCCACTACAATAAATGCCAGTCAGGCACTTAACTGGGTAGTGAAAGGCTTTCCCCAAGATTAAGGATCCCAAAACACATGACACCCCCCTCAAAAATAAAAACAAGAACCTGATTAGAGAACAGCAACTCATCATTGCTTGGTTGTGTCACAGGGAAGGTGGTGGCTGCTGCCATTCACCTATGTACCAAAGGTAGAGGATTATCAAGGGATCCAACATGTAGCTGAGTGTAGGCAGGAGGTAGTTCAAAAGATAGAGGTCAGACTGTGGAAAGATCTAGGCCCTATTAAAATAACAATTTTAGTAAATTGTTTAATTGATATATTTCCTTCAAATGTAAACGCTAGATTATATTTTCAAGAAAATATCAATAGAAATTACCAAGATCAGTTCATTAGTCAATATCATCCCCAAAAGCACCTGAATATAGGAACATGCTCTCAAAAAAAATCATTTTTTTTTGGAATTCAACCACCAAGATAATAAAGCCATTGATAAATGGAGACAGCTAGATGATGAAGCAAAACTATTAAATTACAGAATAATCTTACAGATCATAATGACTTGTATATGTAATGTCAAGACTTTATTACTGCAATTCAACAAGAATATTAACTCTATATGGATGTGACGGATTTTACCACTCATTTTGTTTGCGTATGTCTTTGTGTTCTTACTGCACCACTCTGCCACAACAGCTTTTCTCATATCAATCAGACTTGTTTTTTCCTCTCTTCAAACTGTCAGGGTAACAAAATAAATGCTGGTTTTCCATAAAGTCTTTTTTTGCTTCCCAAGCATTGAAACAGCAAACGACATACCCCACCAGCTTGAGGAAAGATGAATGTGCTTGTATAGGGACAACACATTTTTCCCCCATTTTATGGAGATAAAATATCATTGATCTCAAAAACTATTGATTTGAATTGAACCTGAATGGTCCTTATTATACAGATAAAGACAAGTGTGTGGCCCATTGCGTGTTTTTGGAACCAGGTAAATTACATTTGAAGTACTAAAGATTCTAAATTAATTGTAGTTCCTAAATCAAGACAAAATGAACCTGAGGCCAACAGTTAGTTCAATTGAAGAAAGCTTTTATGAATGCCACCTTCCTCACAACTGCATAGGCCTGACCAAGCATAACAGACATGCTTCTACATCTTGCTACCATCATTTTAGAGCAGCTCACCTGAATTTATTAGAAGCAATCTTTGACTTTTTTAAGTCACTCACTGTTCAAGTTGAAGATGGGAGATTCTCATTCCACAACAATGCCTTTCCTTTCGAATAGTTGGGTGTCCATCATTTAGTTAAACATCAGCAACTGGAATAAATATAAAAAAGAAAAATCAACAACCAATGGCATGGCCTGGAAATCATAATGGATGAGGGCAGCACGGTGGCTCAGCGGTTAGCACTGCTGCCTCACAGTACAAAGGACTTGGGTTCATTCCACCCTCAGATGACTGGATATGTGGAGTTTACATATTATCCCCATGTCTGCATGGATTTCCTCCGGGTGCTCCGGTTTCCTCCCACAGTCCAAAGATTGTAGTCTAGGTGGATTGGCCATGTTAAATTTCCCATAGTGTTCAGGGATGTGCAGGCTAGGTGGATTAGCCATGGGAAATGCAAGGTTACTGGGATAGGATAGGGTAGGGAGTTGGGTCTGGCGGTATGATCTTCAGAGTGTCGGTGTGGACTCAAATGGGCCGAATAGCCTGCTTCCGTACTGTAGTATTGTATGATTTTATGAAATCAGTTTTATCCACCAGCTTCTGGGCATATATATATATATAGTCCACAATGAACATTGTACAAACTCAGCTGCAATAGCGAAATTTTTGCTCTGATAATATGAAATAAAGGGTTTTTCTTTCCGTATTGCATGACTACAAATGAAATAGTCCATCACAGGTTGACAATTGACTTACTGTGTAACTCATTATATACTTCTGTCATCTAACTTGTTTCTTTTTACCTGGAACAAAAATTAAAATGATCCCTAAACATAGCAATACCATCAGTGGTGATCTCCAAAGATGTCAACAGCATATCAGTTGATACGTAGAAAATTAATTTTTCTTTACCTTCAACATTTTATAGGGCTGAATGAATAGGTATTTGCATCTGCCTTTTGCAACATTTTTAAACAATTTGAAATCATGCTCAACACATTTTGTGTGAGCCCCCTTCATTCCAGCAAGAGAGAAAAATGCAGAGAGAGAAGAAAATTTCCAAGGAACAGTGAAAGATAATAGTGAAAGAGAAAGAATAAATGAAAGACTCACCACTAAACAATTTAGCTGAAGCATCCTTGAATCAACTTTCCACCAGTTGTTGGCACGTTTAAGCGTTAAATTAAATAATATTGTTTGGAAATGACCCATTGCTGAGAGAACACTAGATCCATTTCAAGTGTCCTTGGAACAGGCATATTCCTGCAAAATTAGTCATTTTTGTATATTTTTTGGATGCAATATGAGAAAGGACCAATATGCTTCTAAAATTTCAAGTCTACTCTACGTAAATTAATTTCCAGCATCAACTTTTCAGTCTATTCCGGGACAGTAGAGCATTGCTGAACTTAACATAAATAATCATGTACAAAGATGCTAAAGGTAGGGGGCCACTTATTTCAATACTATACTAACAAATATTTATTATTTTGGAAATCATCCAGGACTTAAATATTTAATCTTAAACTGATATTTCAATGCAGTACTGAAGTTGGACATTTGAGTGTTAACACAAGAGTAAAGATTCCACTGGAGTTTTTGTAGAACAGAAGGGGGTTCCCCTGGTGTCTTTAATCAATATTCTTCTTTTAGTCAAATCAATGAAAACAGATGAGCTATTCATTCATAATCCTACTGTTGTGAAATGTGTGTGAGCATTAAATGTGATATTTACCCAAATAACAAAACTGTATTCATAAAGTAATGTTTGTAAACACTTGAAATATTTCTCAGTGATGTGTTGAAGATTTAAACAAATAGAAACATTTTCTCTTTTGCACAGTTTATAGCATACTAGGTGGCCATTTGGCTTCTGAGTGCAATACTTTTCAACACCCAATCCAGTATGCTTAGATATTTTTTCTTCGTCAAGTATTTGATAATGGCAGGGATTACTGAAGGGATGGAGACTCCAAACTTGAATCTACAACATTCAGTTCAGAAAGGCTTCAACTTGACAATGGGTCTTGAATAATTTTCAGCCTCCACATATTGTGGTGATCTCACTTAATCCAAGTCAAATCTTAGCAAATATGCTTCATTGCATTCCAGGTTGGCTCATCTGTCTTTAGCTGAAACTGTCAATCTTGGATCAATGATAGCAGAGGGTCAAGTGGTTGTGGGTTGAGGTTCCTTCCACAGTCCTCAATTCATAATCCTGATTGATACTGCTGTGTTGTATAAAGGGATTGCTGAACTGTCAAAAGTGACAACTTTCAGATAAGATGTTAAGCCAAGATTCCAGCTGCCTTCTTGCATGAACATGAGATCCCATGGCAATGTTCAAGTAGGGACATTCTCATAATGCACCAGCTAACTTTTGTTCCTCATCCAGTATCACTGAAACTGATTATTCAATTATCAGAAATAGGCCATCACCCCGGACTTGTTTGAAGCACCCCAAGTCATGAAAAATGCTATAAGTGTGTTCTCGTTTTTAAGTGATCTATTTCTTTATTGATTTAAAGTACAAAAGTATTTTCTTTTTGTTCTCAGATAATCCAATTGATGAGTCAAAAGTCTAATAACTGCAGATTATTTAGAACATAGAACATAGAACATTACAGCGCAGTACAGGCCCTTCGGCCCTCGATGTTGCACCGACCTGTGAAACCAATCTGAAGCCCATCTAACCTACACTATTCCATTATCATCCATATGTTTATCCAATGACCATTTAAATGCCCTTAAAGTTGGCGAGTCTACTACTGTTGCAGGCAGGGCATTCCACGCCCTTACTACTCTCGGAGTAAAGAACCTACCTCTGACATCTGTCCTATATCTATCATCCCTCAATTTAAAGCTATGTCCCCTCGTGCTAGCCATCACCATCCGAGGAAAAAGGCTCTCGCTGTCCACCCTATCTAATCCTCTGATCATCTTGTATGTCTCTATTAAGTCAACTCTTAACCTTCTTCTCTCTAATGAAAACAGCCTCAAGACCCTCAGCCTTTCCTCATAAGACCTTCCCTCCATACCAGGCAACATCCTGGTAAATCTCCTCTGTACCCTTTCCAATTCTTCCACATCCTTCCTATAATGCGGCGACCAGAACTGTATGCAATACTCCAAGTGTGGCCGCACCAGAGTTTTGTACAGCTGCAACATGACCTCATGGCTCCGAAACTCAATCCTTCTACCAATAAAACCTAACATACTGTACGCCTTCTTAACAACCTTATCAACCTGGGTGGCAACTTTCAGGGATCGAGGCACATGGACACCGAGATCTCTCTGCTCATCCACACCACCAAGAATTTTACCATTAGCCCAGTACTCTGTATTCCTGTTACTCCTTCCAAAGTGAATCACCTCACACCCGCATTAAACTCCATTTGCCACCTCTCAGCCCAGCTCTGCAGCTTAACTATGTCCATCTGTAACCTGCAACATCCTTCCGCACTATCCACAACTCCACCAACTTTGGTGTCATCCGCAAATTTACTAACCCATCCTTCTACACCCTCATCCAGGTCATTTATAAAAATGACAAACAGCAGTGCCCCCAAAACAGATCCTTGAGGTACACCACTAGTAACTGAACTCCAGGATGAACATTTCCCATCAACCACCACCCTCTGTCTTCTTACAGCTAGCCAATTTCTGATCCAAACCGCTAAATCACCCTCAATCCCATGCCTCCGTAATTTAATAGGCAATATTTGAATTTAAGAGGCACATCATTAGATGCTCCGTAATAAATTAGTAAATAAGGTTAGAGAACGTGGAGTCAGGGAACGGTGGGCAAAATGGGCTGCTGGTTGGTTTCAAGAATAGAAAGCAATGATTGGGGGTAAAAGTTCGTTATTCAGTGTAGTTAAAGGTGGCTGACGGTGCTTCACAAGGGTCAGCACTGCAACCCCTGCTAACCATAATGTGTGTGAAAAATTTGCCTTTGGAATCAAAAATTCAATTTCAAAATTAGTGAAGGTGATGACCACAGATCATAATCTTACATGTACATACTGAACTTTTAATTCCAACCTATGATTTTTAAAAGAGGGCTGATGCAGCTTAAAATGGCTGTTGTCTGGAGAGGAACTCTGGAATGAGATATGTGAAGGTTTCACAGAAGCTTCAAGGGCAAAAATGCACTACAAACTGAATTGTAATCTCCTGTGACGTATCAGATAGTGACCGTAATGGAGGAAAAAGGCAGCAGGTTGGGCGTGTGACCGGTTTTCATTTTCCCTTTCAAGAATAAACAGGAAAAGGGGTTAAAATTGAGTTTCACTCCTGGTCCGTGTATGCCAGTAGGCTTAGGTACTTCTGTGTACTTGCCTGGGTTCAAGTGCTGGTGCAGAATAAAAGTTACATTCAGAGTAACATTTACTAGTGACTCAGTAATGCAGATAACTTGTCCTCTTTCTCCGAGCACTGGAAACTAGTTAGCAAACCAGTTCAAAAAGTAACAGAACAAAACAAAACAAAACCACTTGGCTAACCTGCAAAGCCACGAATCTCAAAATAAGTGGATGGCTGAGTAGTAAATTATGCATGACCCAGACTCTGACAATTTTTGTTAAACTTTTGTCTGTTTTTGGGCTGGTTTCTCAATTCTAATGTGTGTTATGCTGTCATTTCTTTTTGCCTTTAGTAACGAATAAATTCATTCTTTTGTTTACTCAAGACACCCTTGTCAAATTACCTCTTTTTCAATTTAGCTCTTTTAGCACACTGGTAAAGCAGTTATCAGGAATGCTACTGAAATGTTGGCCCAAGGGGGTTGGAGTATGAGAGTAGAGAAGGCTTACTGCAACGATGCGGGCGCTGGTGAGACCACATCCGGAGGACTGTGAGCAGTTTGGGGCCCCTTATTTAAGGAAAGACATTATTTCATTGGAGGCAGTTCAGAGGAGGTTCATTAGGATGATCCCTGGTATGGAGGAATTACCTCAAGAGCAAACGCTAAACAGGTTGGGAGTATAGAAGAATGAGCACAGGTGGCATGGTGGCTCAGTGGTTAGCACTGCTGCATCACAGTGCAAAGGACCTGGGTTCGATTCCAACCTCGGGCAACTGTCTGTGTGGAGTTTACACTGTCTCCCCGTGTCTGCGTGGGTTTCTGCCAGGTGCTCTGGTTTCC